TTTTTTTAAAAAAATAGCCATGTACTTGTTTTCTTGTCTTCTAAAAGAATTAATGAGCATATGAGACCTAAGGTTTCATATATTCACTCATTCAACAAATATGTTATTTGTAAGTATGATGTGACAGGCATCATGGAGGAAATGGGGTAAAAGTGTTGTGTTTTATTTTTTTTAAAGAAAAGGTTGAATGCATGTTCTCAGGGAAGTTTTAAATAAAGCATAGAAAAATGATAAAATAATGTCAAATAATGCTCCATTATACTATGCAAAGAAAGGAGAACATGAGATACTTCACTGGGATTGTAAAGAAAAAGCTCTTTAAGGAGTTGGCATGTTGAGACCAGGTAAACAGCCCAATTCATTGGCTCTCAGCAGAATATCCCAAGCACTGGAGAGTATGCAAAGGACCTGAGGAAACATGGGATTGGAATATGTAAAGGAAAGAACAGAGACCTGCTCTTTAGAGCCCAGTGACGCACAGAGTGGTAATGGACCAGTGAAGAGAAACAGCCTCATGAAGTTCACACTTCAGTACAGAATGCAAATTTAAAAGAATAGTTTAGAAAGTAATTAATTTATTACTGTAGCAACTGCAAGAGTTAAAAAAAAAAAAGAGAGAGAGAATCCTAATCAGTCTAATCCATATGAGTTTCCCAGCAGAGGTGACATTTTCACCAAGTCTCAGCTGACTTCCTAGCTAACTGAACAACATTAACTCAGTCAATACAACATGAGAATTTAAATCCATGGATTATGGATCAACATGCAGGGGCTCCTCGTTTTTCAGAAAATGAAATGCTACAGAGGGAGCACTGACCTTGGAATTTCAACTTTATTATTTCTCTACTTTTTTTTTTCCCTAGGGTGTACATTTATATCACTTCCTTTATATTTCTTTTAGAGTAACTATAAACAGGGCTTTTAATTCAAACTTGGCCTAATCAGGAAATTATAAAGGGAATTAAATGTACAACTCAAGTGAAATTTATAAACTACAAAAGCTATACATTATGAATGAATCACCTSCATATTTATTGTAAGATTTTTATCCACTAGAGGCCCATGGGTACSATGTAATTGCTTTCTCCCCTTCATCTGAACCACTAAGTGAAGGACCAAATGTTCATTTGAAAAAGGATAATTACAATTCTAGTTCAAAATCAATTCACTATGCCCTACTTGGGGGTTTCAAGAAAAAAAGAAACTAGGATGATGTTTTAATCATCTCGGAAACCCCAGGTGCAACACAATGCCTGGGGCACAAATAATGAATCAATGAGGGTCCCATAAGGCACACCAGTTGGACTTCTGCCCATAATTGGACCGTTCTGTGTGTAAGATGCTTTAATCTTCATGAAGTCCTCACTTCCCACACTTGGTTGAGATTTACAATCATAATTTAGTTACACCATTTGAAAATATAACTTATAAGATGATATGTATAAACATAGAATAGGTTTTTTAAAGCAAACTACAGTCCCTGTGGAAACAGTAAAATGTTTTCTGTGGTTTCAAAAATGGACATATTTGGAAGAAATTCATAAGTCCCTGTGCAACCTTTTAAATTTATGACCAAACTTCTATTCTAACAAAAGATGAATTAACATTCTAACAGCATATCAAATATCCCACGGTGGGCTTCTTTTCTGCAGCATTCTGTTTTATCCACAGTCTCTAGAAAAGCTTTTTATTTATATATATATATAAAAAAAACTTGAAGATTCTCAAATTATGTAGCTAGAAAACAGAAAAAAAGGCCAGTTGTATTTTTTTTCATGTGTGTACATTACAAATAATTTAAAAAGAGGACATATATTAAAAATTCAATTAATACCTGGAGAGGATAAATCCGGGGATTTCAAATTCTTGCAGATAAAATGGAAAATATGATTATTATTTTTATTGGAAGATAAAGCTATTTATACCTCCTTGATAATAAATCCCATTGAGATTTAGGAGAATTTAGTTTGGAAGATGCTAGAGTTTACCAATCAGCTGAGATGTGTTTGGACACATGAAATTATATTCTCTTTGGGGCTAAATAAATGGTAATACTGTGAGATCCTGTGTTACATGCTAACTCCTGTTATTTGTCAGCAAGTTACTGCCTGCTAAGAAATGCTCCCAGACAGACCCTGGTGATTCTGCAAACTGTCACATCAATTTCCATTTCATTTATTTTTAAATTACACATCCTGACATTATCAAAAGGGGAAGAAGCTCTTGAATCTGTAATCCATGTTATCTCCAAACAGGAAGGGATTTAGATGATTAAAASTAAAGACAAAAGATTTTCAACATTAAACAAGTTAGAGTAAGCCTACTATATGCTCTTTCTCCAACTAATTTCGAGGATAAATCCTGATCCTGGAAGGAATAAAATAGCATCTAACTGTGAACTTTGCAAAGCATATGGTAGAGGGCAGCACAAGGAGAAGAAAGACCATCACAGATGGGAGATTCATATTTGTTTTATTTTTCTTCTATTTCTGTTATCTTCTTAAAGTAAAACGCACATGCACGTACACAGAGTCAAAAGCATCCATGCCTAAGTGGAGAGATATAGCATGTTCCTGGATTAACAGAGTGAACAGTAAGATGCCAATTCTCTCTGAATTGACCTAGAGATGAAACTCAGTCCCTAGCTAGATACTACCTACCAGATTTTTTTGAACATATTGACAAAAAGGTTCTAACTTTTATGTGGAAAACAAAGGAAGAAGAACAGCCAAAATGATGCTAAAAGGGAAGATCCAATTTGAAGGATTGACTTTGATTGTAAGAGTTACTCCTATGCTAGACTAAGACAGAGTAGTAGCATTGATAGAAACACAGACTGATGAAACCGGAGAGTCTAAAAACAAACCCCTACACCAGTATGTTCACTTGGTTTGTGTCAGAGGTACAGACTGTAGAATGTCTAATGCTTTCAACAAATGAATTAGGTTAACTGGAACATCTATGTGCAAATAGACATAGAAGCTTGACGTGGAGTTCATATCATGTAAATCCATCACAGATTGAAGCAAAAACAAGTAAAATTACAAGACCTTGAAATGAAACAGAAGAAATTCTTAGTGACCTTGAGTTAGACAAAGACTTTTCTGATGCAACTCCAAAAGAACAACTGATAAAACAAAATTAAAAAATTGGTCAACTGAATCTCAATAAATCTAAAAAAATTTGCTGCATGAAAAACAGAATGAAGAGAGTACAAACACAAACCACAGACTGGGATAAAATGTTGACCGCCCACATTTGTGACAACATAAAGGAATAAAGAATCCTCAAAACTCATCAAACAAGCCAATAAGAAATATACACAAGATATGAGCAACACTTAGCAAAAGAAAATGCAGAAGGTTTTCTCTAATATGTGGATACTAATTCACAATAAGGCAGGGGGCACTAGGGAAGAATAGTGTTACCCTAGATTAGGCAGAGGGAATTGATGAGGGGGAAAGGGAGGGGATGTGGGCATAGGAAAGACAGTAGAATGAAACAGACATTATTATAGTATGTATATATGTGACTGYATGACCAATATGATTCTGCAACATGTACACTCAGAAAAATGAGAAATTATATCCCATCTATATATGATATATCAAAGTGTATAAAAGCATTTTACTGTCATGTATCATTAATTAAAACAAATAAAAAAATTTAAAAAGTAAAATAAAGCATATGACTTTTCCAGAAAAAAAAAGAAGGCATACAAATGCTAAGCTTATGAAATCATGTTAAACATCATGAGTCATTATGAAAAAACAAATTAAAAACCATAAAGAGAGCCTGGTGGGTTGGTGCATGCCTATAATCCTAGCAGCTTGGGAGGCTAAAACAGGAGGATCCCAAGGTCAAACACAGGGCCAGCAACTTAGCAAGGCCCTAAGCAACTTGGGGAGACTGTGTCTCAAATAAAAAGTTAAAAGKTCTGGGAATGTGGCTGAGTGGTTAAGCACTCCAAGGTTCAATCTCTGGTACAAAAGAAAAAAACAAATGCAAACAAGCAAACAAAAAAACATAAAGAGATCCTGCTACCATTAGAAAATTTCAAGTAAAAACATGAAAAACAATGGGAAGATCCAAGTGCTGAAATGCACAGCCACTGAAAGAAAACCTCCACATTATAAGCAGAAATACAAAACTACTAGCCACTTGGGAAACAGTTTGTCAGTTTTTTACAAAGTTAGAATACATTTGATCTATGATCTAGGAATCCCACTCCTGGGTGCAAATATTACAGCAGCTCCATTTCAATGGTCCAAACAAGAAGCCATCTGACCATTCCTTAGAAGATGAAGGAATAAAGAAAACATAATACATCCACAACACAGAATATTACTCAGCAATGAAAAAGAAAAAAATATTAAAATATGAAACAACATCAATGGCTTACAAATGTAGAATTTTAAGTGAAAGAAGACAGGATCAAAAGGATATGCACTATAGGATGCCATCTGTATGACATTCTGGAAAAGGAAAAACTGTATAGGCAAAGAACAGCTAGGTGAGGAGGCTGACTTCACATGGTGAGCAGGAGGAAATGATGTGGGCGACAGCACTGTTTTGCATCTCCTAGCTGCAGTGGTTACAGGATGTTATGCATTTGTTGAAACTCAGGTAAGGGCTTTTTAAAAGCATG